AAAAAAAGAATAATAAATTTTTTTATTTGGAATTCAGTTTAAAATAATACTTTCCCCATTAATTTTTAATAGATTTAGTTTTTCTTATATAATAAAATAGAGATATAATAATTTATTAATAAAATTTTATATTTATTTTTAATTAAATACTATTTAAATAAAATTTTTTATTTAATTTATGTGGAATTATCTTTTAAAATGATGGTAAAATAAGAATAATTACATTAAATAATAACTTAAAAAGGAAAAGTGGACAATTAAATTTGAGTGTCTCAAATAGGAAACTAGGTCTACTAAAAATAAATGAAAAGAGTACTTATTTGTTTCATATTTTAAGGGAAATAAATATTTTTTCCTATTTTAACATTAATACATTATGATTATCCTTTAATTTTAATTGTTTATCTTTTCATAGAAAAATCTCTTTATTTTTATTTTCTTTTATAAGGATAAGATAGGTAAACAAGAAATTGTCCCCAAATCCCTAATTCCAAGATAATATATATATATATATATATATATACGTTTGTTCGTTTCCTATATCTTGGGATTAAGGATTTGGGGAAATTTCTTATTTTACATATTTTACCCTTAAAAAAAGAAATAAGAATAGAAAGACTCTTTTATGATAGCATAGAGTATTAAAATTAAGAGATAATCATAAGTTTAAAGTAGCAAAAAATATTTGTTTCCCTTAAAATATGAAAAAAGACTTATTCTGAGATGAATTCCAAATAAAAAAACTTCTATTATTATTGGATGACTGGAGTATCAATGTTTTTAGATTGAAAAATAATTGGTATACATTTAGATTGACACCCTTTTTAATACTTATCTAGTTAAGCCATTAAAAATAAAATATAAATATAGCCAATTTAGTCAGTTTTAACATCCTATATACATGGCTGCATTTTTAAAATTGTTTACCTCTAATTTTAGATCAACAAATAATGATTTTTTTTAATGAATGTGTTGCATAGGGTATTGAACCAAACTTTGTACCAATCAATGTTTTATTGAATTAAAGATAACAGAATACTTATTATACTTATATCATAATTGTAAGTTTACAATGTCATATAGCATTGTAACTATATCATTTTAGTTTTGAAAACCATTAGGATATTTCACAAGCCACCTTTGAAATACCAAAAATAATATAGTTATAATGTCATATAGCATCACAAAACTTATAATCATAATAGTGGTGGAACCAATAATTAAATAAATGTAGAGCCTTTTCTTTTTTTAAACTTGAGTTTAATCCCCCTTTTATTCCTAAAAAATTTAGCTAAGACCTTTAACCCTTTTCCTCTTAAAATCTTATGTTTTTCACTCTTTTTTTTTAAAAAATTTTTCTTGAACCCATGGATGTATGTGGTACTGTGACTAAATTATAATGTGTCATTATATGATTTATTTATTTTTTCCAAATGTTTAGTCATATTATTATATGTATCCAATTTTTAAAGACATATCATAGTTCTAAATTTATAATCTTCAAAATGATATTGTTGCTATTGCGTTATTGTTGGAATAAAAATTTGTATGGGACAAAATAGAATGGGATATATTAGAACATTCCTTTCTTGCACTCAATAAAAATTGCTTCCTTAATTTGTCAAGGGTGAGTTTGGTTTGAGAATAAAATGGAATCTATTTCATTTCCAAATAAATTCAGTTAAAATGTAAATTAGAAACATGTTTTAAATATTTTTGTGTGTGCCTGGTATAGTGAAATCTAACAATATTATGAATCAAATTTATTTTGGTGAATGTTTCACACCTTCCACTCTTTATCTTCTTTATCTCCTACTTCTTTCATACAATTACAAGGATGATTATCACTATAATTTCATGCATTTACACATTCCATATATTGTTGCTTAATAGCCACTTTCTCAAGCAAATAATTTACATGGTGATCAAATGCTATTTAATGGGTGATTTATTCCTATAACTTCTACTATTCTTCTAGTCTATATATAAGGCTTATAAGTTTTATGCAAATAATATGAAAAAAAGAAGAAGAATAAAACTCTTCATGGTCTCTTTATCTCTCTTTGTATCTATGATTCATATTTCTTCTTCTGTGTTTTTTTTTCTTTATCACATAAATTATCAGCATGAATAAATTATCTTATATGATTTTTCTTTAAAATCCTATTCAAGGTAAAAATCTAAGTAGAGGCAAAGTATTGAGATAAGATTTTAAGGAAAAATTTTGTAAACAAAATTTTTAGTTTCTAATCTAAATATTTTATAGTATTACAATAGTTTTCTTGTTTATATGTTATTTTAAAATTGTCACAAGATTTTTGTTCATTGCCCTTTTGTCCAAGCTCTTATACCATTGTTGCCATTCTCCTAGTGTTAGAACCTAGCTTTGAAACCATTATAGAGAATTAAATCCCTTCTCTCCAAGCTCTTATAGCAGTTGTTGGGAATTTTACTCACACCAAGGCTAATTGATGAATAGTATTGCCACAAAATTATGCAAGCAAATTAAATAATAAAGCAAAATAATAAGGAAGAAGAACACCCAATTTAATGTAAAAAAGAAGGACAATAATTGATATATTTTCTAATTCAATACACCTCATAATGGACTCATTAATATTTTTTTTTTTCAAAATTGAATCAAAGGCAAGAAAACTAAAAGCTTAGAATTTAATGGCTAAACCAATAAGTGTTGTAAGGTGTGTCAAATTGAAAGGTGTACTAATCATTTTCCAAAAAAGAAAAACCCTCCCAAATAAGGAAAAACCATGCCAAAAAAGAGAAAAATCCATTGTTAAGAGAGAGTCAAAATATTAAAAACCTAACTTCAATCTCTTCCAAAACTTCCTAAACTCTCCCAAGAACCCTCGCCTCTTTTTTTGATCAACCAAGAGCCCTCCCCCTTAATATTGTATTTTCTCTGTCACACCTTGAAGCTCTTAATAGTCTTTAAGAAACTCTCATAAAACACAATAGCGTAGAAGCCCTTTCTTAACACTCTAATTGGATAGAAGAATCTAACCATCTCGATACCAAATGAGAGTGAAGGCACTCTCCCTTATCACCTCATGAGCTTAATCCACACCACACATCACATCTAGATTTGCTAATAACACATATTTATATTAATTACAAGTACTAGAGTTTGGTTTGAAGAAGGATTCCTAATCACACTTAATTGAAGATTAAAAAAAAAAAAAAAAACAATCAATTCAATCCAATCTTGTCACACAAGATTTGGATTTTTTGGCAATATGTACTAACACCTTTTCAAAGGTGCTAGAACCTTCACAGTCACTACCTTTTGCTTCCTTTTTTTTGTTTCTTTGAAACTTCAATTCTATCTCTTAAATTCAAGGCAATAATCCCTACATATATAAGGTTAAACTCTCTATGGCTTTGATTTTTCTCCTTCATGTGTATTCATTTAACTATCTTTTCCAACATGTCACATAGTTTGAGTAGCCACTTTTTGGCATCTAGAAAACATCCCCACCTAGTCACCAGAATTAAATTAGACTCTCTACATAATACTGTGGAGATGGAAAAGGTGAAGAAAATCAAGAAAGAAAAAGAATTCAAAAGAAAGCAAAAGCTGTGGCACTGTTGAGTGAGTGGGGCACAATTGCACATTACTATTGTCACGCCCCAGAACCCAAATCCGGGGACGTGGCAGATGCCGTACACTCGTGAGACGGGTCCCACAAGTGCACAAGGCTCGGAACTTATTCAAATCACAATCTGATACCACAAAATCTCAAGATAAAATCTTTACAGTCTGCTCTGATATCAAAAATCTCCACATACACTCTAACTCTTAAGATTACGATCTACATCTCAAATCTATATTCACTTTACAAGATGGCTAGCCTTCTAACTCGTCACTCCCCTTGGTTTTCCCCGTCCTCGGTTTCGCTTCCTGAAATGGTGGGCAAGGAAAACTATGAGATAACTCAGTAAGTAAATATGGATAGCCCTTGGGTAAAACTTTTAAGCATGCCAGATAAACCATGTAAGCATAGCAGAACTTTCACTGATAAACCGTTAATGCGGAAATCAAATTCGATTCAATAGCAAAACGTTCAATGACAAAACCGTCAATGCAAAATCAGATTCAGTTCAATAACAAAACGTTTCCTGACAAACCGTTAATGCAGAAGAAAACTCAGTTCAGTAGTCTCATCTATAAGTCATGGCCAGTGTTATAACAACCCACTGG